CCAGAATTGAACAGATAAGTTTGGTACATACGTTATTAAAATCCATGCTTTTTTTTGTTTCATAACACATATCTTCCATGAACTTTCTGAAGACCCACACCCCATAGACGCTCATGAGTAGAATGCTCGTTGCCCATCAGGTAACACAAGGTTAGGGAACGTAGACGTGAATCACGTTTCATGAAATGAAAAGTTTTGTACTTTCTGTCCCTATACCAGTCTTCTCCACCCTGAACACTGCGGGGAAATGTCAGGCACACGTAGGGTTGTCACAGCGCCCAGCAGTAAGTGTGACGAGGCTCATGTCACATGGGCATGAGTCACGGACCCTGTTACAAAGATGGCAGAGGGCAAGTGAGGGAAATCAGACTGTATTGCTCTAGTGGAAGCAGGGGCGAGGCAGCTCCCTAAGGAAAATTTCCTTGGGAATAAATTAAAATGCCCTAATGCTTCCTGGAATTCTCTCTTGATGACGAGCTAAATGAAAACAGAAAATCCTGTGTTCTCAGAAGCATCAAAGACAAATTAAGTGTCAGTGCAAAAAAGTAAATTATACATTTATTGACTGTTGGATGAGGTTGGAGAGACAGTTCATTAAAATCTCGCTTCAAAAGATGATGATTCATGTACCACAATTCACCTGCTGCAAAATGGCCAATAGACATTGCAACATGTGCAGCAGATACAGGGCGACCCCTGGTGAACAGCATCCCAATGGCAAAAAGTCTATCTTTGAAATACCCAGAAAAAGAGGCATGAGGGCCTTCCAGAGTGGATCAACTCAGACCTCAGCAGGACCACGCAGGGCGTAGCTCCCGGGCACCTGCAGACCGCATCCTGTAGGTTTTGGCAAACCAGGAATGCAAATCCCAGAAAAGCCAACACGTTCATGTGTGATGGGATTTCCTGTGCTCCATGCATCCCCATGTATCACAGTCCTGGGAAAACAACGTGTTCCTGTGTGATGGGATGGCAGGTGCATTCCCGTGTATCACAGTCCTGGGAATCCAACAGGTCCCTGTGTGGGGGCACTGCCCATGCTCTCTGCATCCCATGTGTCACTAGCCCTGTAGCTGTGCAGCTCATAGGAAAGGCACATCCAATACAATTGAAGGCAGTGCGTGTTTGGTAACTGACAACACCTCTCACTCCTAGGAAGCAGGCAACGGCACATTACCCCCAGAAGAGGAGCTGGGAATTCTCTTAGAAGAGTGTCTACAGTCCACAAAAGGTGCATTTCTGTGGCACCTAATGGACACCAACATACAGCATGGCTCTATGTCAAGATGAGGGCCGAAATACTTAGCTATTGCATAAATCTCTCACTTAGTTCCATTTTCTCCCAGTGCCCTCAACAATGACATGAGAAAACGACAGACTGTTGAGTGTCTTCATCTCTCTTTGGGCAGAAATGGGCTCTTCAGAGGACACATACTTGACACATGCAGAAAACCGAGCTGATGCAAAGTCGGCTTTTGGAGCAGTGGTTCAGACACCGACTGCAATGCTCACACTAGCTTCCATGTTGGCATGCCTGGGATTCTGGTCTGCTTCTGCTTCCTGTCCAGGTGTCCCCGGAGGCAGCTGGGGACGGCTGCAGGAGTTGGGACCCTGCTTCCCACTTGGGGAGTCCTGGATTCAGTTCCAAGCTGCTGGTGTGGACCCTGGCTTAGCCCTGACTGATGGACTCAAGAGTGGCATGAACTAGCAGGTGCAAGATCACACTCTTTTTGTGTTCGATTCTCTTCCCAACAAGTAACATAAGCAAAATTTTAAATTAAAATAGACTTTCACAATTGTGATGAGACCAGGTTGGCTCCTAGGAGCTGCTGAGTGGATGAACAGTACTGAAGATGCTGGCCGATTGTGGAGAAGCAGTGGAAGTCTCTTTTGGTTTTTACCCAGACATATTCTCCAGTGACTGTTCTTTTGTACAAACAAACAAACAAACAAACAAAAAAGCAACCGATTGGGACTTAAATTGATCCTTATAAGTCACAAGCACATTGTCCAGTAACTGGCTAAGGAAGGTGTACTCTGAGTTAATCTTCATAGATTGTTTTGGATCTGAACACCACTGATAAGTACTGCGCTTCAGCAACTGGCATTTTAAATCTCTTTTGTTAAAAAAATTTTATCCCTGTTTGTCACGCACAAAGGAGGTGTTGGCTTATCAGCGGCTTAGAAAATTATGCAGATATAATGCAGGATCAGAACGGCTCAAAGCAGCATTGGGAGAAAACAGTAATGGAATATTGCTTTTCCTTCTGATAAGGACAAGACCAGGGACATCAAATGCATCGTTGCATTAATTACAACAAGTGACTTCAGAGGAGCACTGCATTACACCCAGTAGTACAGCGAGGGCGGGCAGGAGTGGAGGAGGAGACTGAAGCATACGAAGCAGTGTCCCTTTATGCAGTGGATAGATTTTGCTGTAAGCAGAAGATCCGCTATTACGAGTTTCTAGCTACCAAACAAACCCCTTTTGCACATTTTTGAAGGAGAAATTGCATCCTGCATTATTAATGGCGATATCTGGCAGGCTTTTTTTTTCTATCAAAAGGTTGCAATTATCTTTATCTGCTGTAATGTCAAGTTCCTCCTCCAAAACACATTGATGGACTAGCTTACAATTTTTAGATATCACAATATCACTGTGCCTTCGCATCTTCCTGACTGAATGGAACTGACTCTGAACTTCCTACAGAGTATGAGTTGAGCTGTTCTGGAAGGGCCCCTGTGCCTCCTTTATTTTCTTGGACTACTCTTGTTAATCTCCCTTCTTCCTTAGTCAAGTTTCAAAGACTGATGCACTGGGTGTTAAGAGGGTGCTCTCCTGTCGCACAGTCCCGGGAGCAGCCATGACTACTCCGCTGGCCCGGCCTGGCCCACCCACCTGCCTCTACCTGCTGTCCACGCTTTGCTCTCTGTCCACGTGTCCCACATGTGACCTTGCTGCTAGGCTAATGTGCTCTTTTGTTCTTTGGGTCATTCTTACTACCCTTTGTTAGTACAGCCTACAATATTGGAGTCATGATTCTTATTAAATTCATGGTTCCAAAGCAGAGCATTTGTTAATCTCTGAGCCACCTTCAAGGACCACCTTCAAATTCAGACACATGATAAAAAAAAAAAAAGCATCCTCACCGCAGAAAAGCAAAGGGAAATCATTGTAGAAACTTCAAAAGCAGAGACAACAAGGATACTCGATGTCAGAATTGGGCCTAATCATGAAGATGCCGGTTAAGACGTTTGCATCCCGTGCTGGAGCATACTGCCTTAACACCAGAACCCAGCTCTGGCTTCACACTCCTGCCCCTGCCGAAGAGCATTATGGGAGGCGGTAATGCTGACTCAAGGCATGAGGCCTGGCAGCCCGCGGTGGAGACCGGGATCGTGCTCCTGGCTCCTGGCTTCCAACCTTGCCCAGTGAAGCCCAGCCCTGGATATCACAGGCATTCACAGCACTGATTACTGTCGAGATGTTCCTTAAATTTTGCTCGAACCTGGATCTTTGGTTCCAAATACCTGAGCATTTTGAGAAGACTGAATGTTCAGAGAAAACAGTGCTTCTTTCCCGGGGGGGTCCCGAGAACCCCCTTAGGGTGCCTGAAGCTGGGGTAGCACAGCTTTCGCTACAGACCATGATGGATGCCCAGCAATGTTGTCACATAATACCAGAGAATCCACCCTTCCCTGTGTTACACCCTGGGCCTCCCTCACCTCAGTACCACTGCACTTTGGGATAACATTAAGTTAAACCATAGAGTGATGGGACCACAGCCCTGCGCCATCACAACATTAGATCTAGTCACTGGAACGGTGACTCGAGGGTAGCGTATACTGCACAGCTACGCTGCACAAAGGCTTCATTCATGTCGGAGTGAGACAGAGTGGAGGAGAGAATAGTTAGCGACTTAATGTGTATGAACTGCTTATTTCTGGAATTTTCCATTTAAGTTTTTCAGACCATAGTTGACAGGAGGGAACTGAAAGCATAAAGAGATTATGGGAGGGGGAAACTAGTATGGAGTGACTTCTAAAAGTTTGCTGAAACTGATTCCATTTTACAAGAGCCTAATCATCTGGAGAGGACGGTGAAACAGCAATCAAAGCTGAATAATTTATATAGTTTTGCTTGAGATCTATATTGCCAAACAAAAAAAACCCTTTAAAATAAAAAAAAAATCAAATAGGTGTTCTATAGAGTAAACATGACAGCAGCAATAACCATGAGAAATAGTTAAGGTTGACCACAATTAACTCATAAGAAACAAGATGGTAAATAAGCTATACAATTAAATAAAAGTAGCATATTTGAGCTTTGTGAAAGGGCATTTAGGATGGATATATTCAGATAGAAAGGCAGGGAAACTGAAAACCACATTTATCATAGAAAAAGAAACATATTCAGCAATGAACCAAAAAGAATAAAGTGTTCTCAAATCAAGATGCCCCTTCGTTTCTCCAAAGTATAAAATTTATGGATATTCAAATTTATAGGTTACTATTTATGGGCTGATTTCAATAAAACAATGCAAATAAGTTTGAAGATGGAACGCCAGAAAAAAAAAATGTTCCTATGGAAGAAAGAATTTTTTTTTTCTGTTACACTGAGAATATTCTGTAAGATAAAACTGGGGTGATTTTGGTGCAAGGCTCCCTCTGCTGGAAAGAAGCTGTCATTACAACATTACATGAGGAGAGGCTTGGCTGGTCAGTGGTCTCAAGGGTAGCTGCTAGAATCAGCTGGCAAGCCAGAGCTTCCAAAATCCCCGTGCCTAAGCCACAGCCCAGGCCGGTAGACATCAAGTCTTCCGAGGAGACTACTGTGCATCTGTATTGTTTAAAGCTTACCGGTTGATAACTCAGTGCTGAAAACTGTTATAAAGACTTTGGTTGTCCTGGGCAAGAACACATGAGTCTCCCGTGAGAACTGCGATTGTGTGTGAGGTCCTCAACGAACTGACTGTATACGATTGTTCAGTTCTGCTTACCTTAGGCTTCTCATCCAGGATCTGCTGGCGGATCTCCTTGTGTTTCTCCACGAGTTTTTCTTGTCGCTTACTCTGTGCCTCTTCTAACTGTAAGACAGGTATGAAGACAATCATGTTCAAGTGCCCTTGCTTAAAAAATCAAAAGCATCTCAAACTACAGAATGTAATTCTTTCATCTGCTCATCAAATGCCGTGCCTGGGGTCAGCGTGGTAGCATGGCAATCTAATTTACCTGCAGCACCCACATTCCAGATGGGTGCCAGTTCGTGTCCCACCTGCTCCCCTTCTGATCCAGCTCCCTGCTGGTGGCCTGGGAAGGTAGTGGAGGATGGTCCAGGTCCTTGAGCCCCTGAATCCGTGTGGGAGATATGGAAGCAGTTTCTGGTTTCTGGCTATGGACTGGCTCAGCTCCACCACTGTGGTCATTTGGGGAGTGAACAAAAGGAAGGAAGACCTATAGACCTATCTCTCTGCATCTCTCCTACTTTCTGTAAAATTTCCCTTTCAAATAAAAATAGATAAATCTTTAAAGAAAATGTGCCCCTACAAGACTAGGTAAGTGTGGGTTCTGGGGTCGCCTGGGCTGAAGTACTGAACCAGGAGCCCATATTATTTACATTTGCATAAATGTTTGGCATTTCCTTAACATCAAATTAGCACACACACAAAAGATGGCCCTTGAAAGTTGTTTTTCTCCCCCATAATGAGAGGTAAAGGTTCTTTAGAAGCTTCCCACTTAAATCACTTTCCATGGCTTCTGTGTAAATGATTTGCCGCTGAACTTGTAGAAGTGTTGACTATGGAGGGACTGCTGCCCAGAGCAGCTGTGTTGGGTGCTGGGTGCTAGGGAAGCACAGTCCCCAGGCCTGGCATTGACTGGCAGGACCTCACGATAAGGCTGACCAATGCCAAGGACAGAGCGAATTGGGCCCACGTACCCGCTTGATGTACTGCACCACCTCCTGGATGTAGGATCGAATCATCTCCGTCTTCTCCCTGAAAGGCGAGTGACACAGAGTTCACTGCACCAACGCATGCGCAGCAGACGCACGGACGGTCACAGAGCTCCCAGCCTCCCCAACAGCTGCTGTGTGGCAGATGCTGTGTGCTGGCCTCTGCTCAAAAGGTCAAGTTCCTCCAGGGGCCCAGAGCTCCTGTTCTCATAAAATATCAGGGAGACTGCCTGACACCACTGGAGCCAAGCTCGGGACTTAGCCAGAATGCTCTTGGTGCCCCCAGTCCTTTATGGATCTGCCCTGGTAGGAGAGTTTGCTGTTAAGCATTTTGGGACAGGGATCCTTTGCAAGGAAGGCTTATCAGAGGAGTAACATCAGAGAGGGGGTCTCGGTGCGGTTGAGCACCTGTTACTCCAACAGAGTTAACTGCCCTCCGGGGAAGGATGGGGACGGGACGCCTCCTTCCTACTCACTCTTCCATCTGGCTTCTGTCTTTGCACTTGGCCTCTGTTATCTTCTCCTGCCTCTTCTTATCCATTTTCTTCTTCAATTCCTTCTTCTCTCTGCAGTCGAAATAGAAGGGGGGCGGGGAGGGATGTCAGATTGTGCAGTAACTGGGGTTTGCGCCACTTACAAACAGGTGTCGGTTGCAAAAGGAACGCAGACTTACTTCTCGCAGACTTCTTTGAGCTTCTTTAACTGATTGTTCTGGCATTCCTCGGCGACATCTGTCAACTTCTGAATGAGCTGTGGAAAGAAAATGCCACTTTGCTATTTTACAAGAGCGTAGCTTGAGCTCCTCCTCCAGGCCCCACCACAAACAACAGTACCTGTGGCTAGCAAATGCATAGTGGACCTTAGACAACAGCTAAGACTGCCAGACATCCGATGCAGCAATGCAGACAGGATGTAAAACTATCCCAGCGTCGACATGCAAGGGATTTCTAAGGAAATTCTTCTAATCTGTTTTAAATGAGGCAGACTTCATGCGCTTGCTGTGCTCATGTTTGCACTCTGTCTCAAAAGGTGGACAACTGACACTGCAGATGCAAATCCCAAGCTCTTTTCCCTTGACTTGGAGAAAAACAGAACCGTCCCTGCAAAGGCCACGCCCCTTCCATACATTCCTCCAGTGCATCATCTCACTTATGCTCCAAACACAGAAAACATCATTTTGTGTTAAGACAGCAGAACACACACACACACCAAACAAATATCCTGTGAAATTTCTGCTAATTTTTCAGGATTTGAATTTCTTTTTTATTCTGGAGTTTCTAAAATTTTTACATTTCCAGTGGCCTTTGGAACCTAGTAATTTTTTTCAACATTCTTTATTTTGATTTTATTTGAAAGGCAGAGAAACCAACCGTCTCCCTAAACGCCTGCAACCAACTAGAGCTGGGCTAGGAGGCCAGAACTCCAGCCGGCAAGAACCTAAGAGCTTGGACCAGCACCTACTTTCTCCCAAGGTATACGTGAGCAGAGAGCTACATCGGACGTGGCAGGGCCAGGACCGGAAGCAGCCACTCCAACAAGGCACAAGAGTCTCACCCTCTCCAACACCTGTACCTCAGTAATTTTCAAAATAACATCTTTAGGCTAGAATCAATGAAACCAACATGGTTTTGTCTAACCACTCCCTTCCCCAAGTCTGTCCTTTCTCACACACTACACTCCGTGTGTCATTTCCAATGTTACTACTCTGGGCCCCACATTCCAACATGTGTTCACATGGCTTGGAATCAAGACAATCTGACACAAAATCAAAGTGTTTTTTACACAGCGATTGAAGTGCTGTTTTTCAGAAAAGCAGTCCACTCATGGGCAAAATGTGGTAAATTGTGGTGTATTTATTAGCGGCAGATTCTATGCAAAGGACCATTCAATCATGTCCTAGCCACAAACTAACCAAAAGTAAGTGGAAAATAAACATGGGATGATTTAGAATCCCTGGGAAAGAAACCAACAGAGTATAAAGAGAACTGGAACACAGCAAATACTTTGACACACACACACACACACACACACAGTCTACTGCTGCAGAACTACGTGCCTATTTGTTTATCACTCGTGACAGTCCTCACTCAATGTCCTGAGCCTCTCTAAGGAGTCAGAAGAAAGCTCTAGGGACTATAATTTCAGACTTGTTCTCAACTTCATGCTAAGTTTCATTTGATTGAGTCATTTGAGGGTTAGAAATAGTCTCCATGGAAGGAGGCTAATTCCTGGATGAGATTTCAAAAGGGATCAAAGCTATGTGGACAGAAATGGGCCCGTTTCATCTCTTCTAAGGACAAAAATTTTGGAAGCTGGGGATAGAAGTGATCATAAAATAGTTACACTGCAGACACAACACACTTCCCTTCCCCTTCCATGCGTATCCAGCTGGTCAAAGCATCTCATCTATGGTTTTCACTGTACGTAGTTAACTTTTCCTCTATATTGAATTAATGTGTAATATATTTTGACTAAGTAATGATATACAGACTGAACACATTATTGACAACTTAAAATCAAGGTGGATGTTTTCTTCAGTGTGTCTTGGCCATTGAAACTGAGAAGGATTCATTTATTCATTCAATGAATGTTACTGAGCAAATACAACATGTCAGGTACAAGTTAAACATTTCTATTAATAATAAAGAAAAATCCTATGAAGTGCTCCAAAATATAAGCTTTTTAAGCCTTATTTGTTTTTCTTTGAAAGTCAGATTTTAGAGAGGAGGAGAGACAGAGAGGAAGATCTTCTGTCTGTTGGTTCACTCCCCAAGTGACTGCAACAGCAGGAGCTGAGCTGATCCAAAATCAGGAACCAGGAGCCTCCTCCAGGTCTCCCACGCGGGTGCAGGGTCCCAAGGCTTTGGGTTGTCCTTGACTGCTTTCTCAGGCCACAAGCAGGGAGCTGGATGAGAAGTGGTTCGCCTGGGACATGAACTAGCACCCAGATGGGATCCCAGTGCTTGAAGGGGAAGAATTGGCCAACTGAGCTATTGCATTGGGTCCTATTGGGTTTTTTTTTAAGATATTGTTTTGTAAGTCAGAGTTACAGAAGACAAAGGGAGACACAGACAGTGTGGAGAGAGATTTAAATTCTTTGCTTTTACTTAGGAGATTGGAACCAGGGAGCTGTGGCATAGAAGTTTCAGGCTGGAGTGTTTTGTTTTTGTATGAGCTGTTTTCAGGGCTTGGGCTATGCCATCATCTCAGAAAGTCATAGAAAAACTGTGATGACTTAATTATCCCTAAAACTGTTTTTGACAAATCACTAAATAATGGCTCTAGGTCTGTTTTTAGAGTTCAATAACGCTTTAAGATCCACTAAACATGATAAATAGGAATATACAGGCCTACATATTTTTTTTTTTTTTGATGAGGAAATCAGCATCACTGCAGTGGCTTACTGAAACACTGTTAGGGAAGAACTTATAGCAGACCAGGGAATTCACTTTTTTGCCAAGTAGAATGCAGGGAATGTGTTGCCAAGCTAGTGAATGCAAGTGCAGCCCAGCACCCTGTGCAGTGCAGGGGTCACAGCGCATCTCACGGTGCAGCGCCAGCATTTCCGGTTCAGCTCTGCTCTGGACTCTAGCTCCCTGCTGATGTGCTCTCTGCGAGGCAGCAATACCACTTCAAGGGGCTGGCTCCCCACCATCCACAGGGGACACCGGCATGGAATTCCCCAGCTCCAGGGTTCCAGCTGACCTAGATCTAACTGTGGCAGCCACGAAGGAAAGAAAACAGAAGATGTGTGTCTGCTTCTCAAATAAACCTGAAAAAAGAATTTACACACAGAGGAATAGGTGTAGAATAGCAAAAACGATACCATTATAAATTCCTCGATTAAAAGAGACAATAGAGCTGATCCAATTAAATAAGAGGTCTGATCGAACCAATCAAAAACATCAAAATCACTAGCATTTTAAGATATGGCTGCCTAATGCTAAAATGTGAGGGGCCACATCATTTAATAAAAAACAAATAGTCCTTCCCACCCAAATAAGGATGATGGGAGCACGTTACAAGTGGAGGTTGTCAGGTGATGGCAAAGCGAACCCTGACTACAACTGTTAGACACACGAGCTGCCTGGTGCTTTACAACTTCAATGGCATCGTAAATCAAGCGTGGGCAATAGTGATTTTGGAAGCTGGAGTGAGAAATACTTGCAACGAAGATGAATGCCTCTTGTCCTGGATGCAGACTATATCATCCTGGCAACCCTCACCAAATGCCATGCCATCGACGTGGCACTCCCAGAGGGCACAGGCTAGACGACCCGATTATGGATTCTGCCACTGAAGCTTTCTCTCTCCCGGTTCCTTTACACTGACGCAAATCAAAATTATTCTTTGCTTTGCCTTTGGGCCTCGTTCCCTTTCCTGACATTTTCCTCCTAATCCTTCCTATTCAGCAATTATTAATATAAAAAAAATTAAGACTATGAAACCAATGTTGCAAAAGTCAGTTGTTTTTTACAGTAAAATCCTTTATTAATTAATACAACTGAGAGTTGGATCAGCTGTATATTTAAGGCAGACTAGCGCTGCATTAAGAGGGAGTCTTTGAAAGCATTCAGACTTTTTGTTTTATAAATAATAATCCATTCAAGGAGGTGAAATAACTTGGTTAAAATTGTATGACTAAAAATGCAAGGCTGGGCCAGGCACAATGGCTCAGTGGCTAAACCCTTGCCTTGTAAGTGCCAGGATCCCATATGGATGTCAGTTCGTGTCCCAGATGCTCCACTTCCCATCCAGCTCCCTGCTTGTAGCAGAAGAGGACGGCCCAAAGCCTTGGGATCCTGAACCCATGTGGGAGACCCAGAAGAGCCTCCTGGCTCCTGGCTTCAGATCAGCTTAGTTCCGGCCATGTGGCTACTTAGGGAGTGAACCAGCAGATGGAGGTCCTTTATCTTTGCATCTCTTTCTCTCTGTAAATCTGCCTTCCCAATAAAAATTTGAAAATCTTCAAACAGAAAAAAAAAAAGCTGAATTGTTTCCCCACTGTAGCATTAAATAAATAAATAAGTAAACCAGCAAATCACGTCTCCTTATCCTAGATTCCGTGCAAACTCTCCTTCGTAAGGACGATGACGACGCTCTGGTGCTATTAAATTTCCACGTATTATTTTATTGTCTGTCACTTCCAAATTAGCAGGGCCATGAAGAAATCCTGGAAAAAACTGTCCCACTTATACAATGCTCCCAGCATGCACGACCGTTGCATTTTCAACTGACGCCGTTTAGACAAGAGATAGAGTTTATTTCCCTAACACTTGAGTTTGGGCAGGCTGTATGACAAAATAATGAGTAAGAAGTCACAAAACTTCTGAAGAGATCTTGCACATTCCACTTGAACAAGCTCAGGATAGTCGGCCGCATGGCGACAAGTAGGACACGAGTTAGAACGTCAACCTCCGGGTGAGCCATTCAAGACTACAAGAATTTTCCAGGGAAGTCAAGTACAAACTGCTGACACAGAATCATGAGCTGCAGAGATGCCTGTGTTTGATGCTGATACAGCTTGGGGTATTTGTTATGGCACAGAACTGATAGAAAGTACGAGGAAGTCAGTCTGACTCTACCAACCTGCTCTCTGAAGAGCGGAACCCCGAGTCAGTCTGGGGCACACCAATCCCTCTGCAAGCATGTGAACCACAGTGGGCCTTCAATCATTTTGATGAATGAATGATTTCATAGGAATATTAGACACTCTACAATTGACTGAACCTCCTAAGGATAGTAATAACGGTGGAGCACTGGGCCACCAGAAGACAGCCAGCAGAAAAAGAAGGCATTGATGAAAAGGCAGTTTGTTTAGAAAAAAATAAGAAATGGTCCTTATTTTTATATATGGAAATACTAACATCTTTGTCAGAAATAAAGCAGTGGAATTAAAGACAAATAAATAATATTTCTTTTTTTAAGATTTGTTTGGGTTTTTTTTTTTTTTTTAAGTCAGATATACTGAGAGAAGCAGGGACAGAGAGGAAGATCTTTTGTCTGCTGATTCCTAAGTGGCCACAATGGCCAGAGCTGAGCTGAAGGCTGAAGCCAGGAGCCTTTTCTGGGACTCCCAGGCAGGTGCAGGGTCCCAAGGCTGTAGGCTGTCCTTGACTGCTTTCCCAGGCCACAAGCAGGGAGCTGGATGGGAAGTGGGGCTTCTGGGATTAGAACCAGTGCCCATATGGGATCCCAGTGGATGCAAGGCGAGGACTTTAACCACTAAGCTATCATGCCTGGCCTGATAAATAACATTTCTAACCAATTTGGATATCAGACACTTGCAGGAAGTGCTCCTGAGTCTTTGTTGGAGAGGAATTTGCCAGTAATTTTAGAACAAGCTTGTGTATAGTGTCAGCAACATCATAAATGACAAGACTGAAACAGCTTACAAGCCATCCTTCCTAATTTGGTGGTGGCAGCTGGGTCTCTAAGCCATTGTCTCCCATTAACATTCACTTTGACCTTCTCAAGTGTGTCAAGGTCATTCCCTCCTTACACCAAAAGCACATCCTCTCCTAACCATCCTTCTAACTGATGTCCAACCCCCCCACCAGGAACAACCTCAGAATTCTCTTCTGTACGTGGGAATGGATACAGGTCACACAAACTCCATTCCTTTTACCGCTTTAATGCCCAAACGGATTCATTTGTTTTGGTTTTGGCATAAGCTTATTCTCATAGCTGCTTTATTGTGGAATTACAATATTCACCTGTCTTCAAAAAGGTATTGAGTCCCCTACGTGTTATGGAATTGACACAGAGAGATTACCATTCTTGTGAACACATTGTGGGGGACAAAACCCTCATTTACAGAGAGGACGGCACGTCATTTCAAAGGGAGCTTTGGGAAGTGGAAAGACAGCACTTCATATTTAGATATTCTTATAAATGTCAGATAGCAAGTTACAACTTTTTAAAGTTCTTCCAAAGGTGAGTGATAAAACATATTGATAGTACAAAAACAAAAACATTGCAGTGTCAACTCATGGAGACACAGGTGCTAAGATAGCAGGGGCTTTAAATATTAGTGTGGTAGACACGGTGCGTCCTAAGGAAGCTCCAGGGTTGGTGACTTTCACACCTGCCCTTTTCTCTTTTGAGTTACCCAAGAGCATACTGTTTTTCTCTAGAAAAGGCAGATCTAGATGCACAGGTATCAATCACGGTAGGGGCCTTACCAGTTTAATATGTTCCCGCTTCTGGTACTTTTCACTGTAATACTGTTCCTGCCGGAGGTTAAGCAGTTGCTGCTGCTGTTTGTCCTTCAAGTCTATTAACTTTTGATTCATTTCTGCATCCAGGGCAGCGAGGTCTTGCTCAATCGCCGATGAGCCATGATCAGGGCTGCTCGGTTCCGATCTGCAAAGACACATTTGGACTTAGAAAACTGGTAGCAAGGTGTCAGGAAGGTTATTCAACAGAACGCCTCCTTGGTAGGGTCCTGTGCTTACAATAAATATTTTGGTAAGCGGCTTGTGGTGGATCGTTGTGTGGCATAGTGTCCCCGGGAGGCATGGAGAAGAGGACTAAGGATGGTACAGTGATGGTAGGACTGATAACATGATAACGCCCCTTTGGGAAAAAGACAGCATAGGAGTGAGAACTAGAGAGAGAGAGAGAGGTGTTTCATCTGCTGGTTCACTCCTCAAATGCCTGCATGAGCCAGGGCAGGGCCGAGGTGGAACCTAACAGCCCAGAGCTCAATCTAGGCCTCCCACGAGGATGGCAGGAACCCAACCACTTGAGCCATTATTGCTGCCTACCCGAGTCTGTCTTGCAAGAAGCTGCAGTCAACAGCCCCAGTTGGAACTGAGCCCAGGCATCCAGATATAACAGGCAGGTGCCCTAACCTCTTAAACACTTGCTTCCTTAATTTTTTTTCTAATCTGGCATGTATAATGCCATTCTCATTCCCTGAGGCTCCCTTGTTTAAAACATCCCTATTTTCAGTTGATACTTATGCAGAAAGAGGAAAAAGTTTGCATCTGGAGCGTACACGCCTTGTGTAAACAGCCTTTCTGCCTGATACCTGATTTTGCTTTCTGGGTTTTTTTTTTTTCTAAAGATTTTAATTTATTTTTATTCAAAAGGCAGATTTACAGAGAGAAGGAGAGAGAGAGAGAGCAAGCATTTCCATGTGCTGCCTCACTACCCAAATGGCCACTATGGCTGGAGCTGAGCTGATCCAAAGTCGGGGGCCGGAAGCTTCTTCTGGATCTCCCATGAAGGTACAGCACCCCAAGGACTCACGCCATCCTCTGTTCTTTCAAGGCTAGAAACAGGAAGCTGGATCAGAAGTGGGGTGGCTGGGACCACAATCGGTGTCCACCTGGCATACTGGCACTGTAGGCAGAAGGTTGACTTACCACACCATGGCACCAACCTTTGATTTTACTTTCTTAATGGGATTTTTCACAGCAGTGACACCTAGTAGCTGAGGGTTGCATAACATCCACTGCACCTTTGCTCAAATCTCAGTCTCCTCAAGACACTTTGGATATAATGGTAGAGCAAGATGCCTTAGTTCACTCTAAAATATTTACTGATTGCTTCATCCAAGTAGGATGGAGCTCTTGTTGTTCTTAGGGTGTTACACAGATATGCAAGCAGTTATCACCGACTCACAGTGCGATTCCCTAACATTCTGAACTTGCATTCTCTCCGGTAGGAAGCCACAGCAAGGGAATGAGTGTGACACTGCATGAATACTCCCTTCAGTAACTGGAGCTTGCACTCTGGAGAAAGGAGGTCAAGCCAGCACTTGCAACAACCAATATACTGAACTCCACCTGCTGTTCCTCCCTGCTGCTTAGGTAGAGTAAGCAGAGGAATCCACTTGGAATCTGCTGACTTCCCATTGCTTTTGCTTAGAATTGGGCCAGCAAGAATGGCATTACATGACGGAAAGCAGTTCATTGGAGCTGGCGTTACAGTCTTCTTTTGTCAAATAAAGGATGCAGAATTCTCTAAAAAGTTTTTATGGGGGACCAGTGTGCTTAGCCTAGCAGCTAAAGTCCTCACCTTGCATGTGCCGGGATCCCATTTGGGTGCCGGTTCATGTCTTAGCAGCCCCATGTCCCATCCAGCTCCCTGCTTGTGGCCTGGGAAAGCAGTTGAAGATGGCCCAATGCTATGGGACCCTGCACCCGTGTGGGGGACCTAGGAGAGGCTCCTGGTTCCTGGCTTCGGATCTCTGTAAGGCTCATGGATTCACAGAGATAGGAACAGCCTTGTGAATCCCAAAATCCGTATCTCAGATGCTCCAAGGTCTGGACCAGTGTAAGGACTGCTACGGTAACACAAGCAGAAAGTCCCCCTTCTGGCCTCATGTGGCAACAGTCAAAATGCACTGCAAATACAGTGCAAACGTGCCTCTAGACTACGCATATAAGGTTTACATGAAACATGAACAAGTTTTGTATTTGTACTAAGGCCCCATTCCCATGTACCCAGAATATCTCATTATGTTTACACAAATATTCTCAAGTCTGAAAAACCTGGAAACAGAAAACATTCCTCGTCTAGAGAATTGCAGAGAAGGGCTATTCTTTCTGTTTCACTGGAGCTGCACTGTAGCACCGGGGATGTCCTCCAGCTTGACACGAGGCTGAACTACTCTTAAATATCCGTGGCGCGGAGAATTCAACATAGCCAGAATAATCGTGTTTCTTCCATCCCACGCAGACCCGAAAGTGGTGGCCGCTCACATTATTTGATCACTCTCCACAAGCCAGGCACATGCAGGGCCACCTGACACATGGGTGCGGCCATGTCCAGGTTGCATTTGGGCATAACAGGCTCACTGTACCCATCTAGCCAGGGAGTCATCAGTGGGCCACAGGAGGGTAGCTTGCCCAAGCACAGTCATCAAGGACAGGTAAAAAAGCAAGCAGAAACCTTTGCTCTTAACCACTGCATGCCATGACTGGACAAACTCGTTATGACTGAATTATCCTTCAGTCTGTGGAAAGCCCCGATGAGGCAATGGATGCTGGAGTAAGAAAATGATCCACTGGTGTGATGCCATTCGTTAGCATGAAGTAGTATCAGGGTTTCACTGGATAACCAAAGGAGTGCAAGAGACAGACCTTACTGGGCCTCACTATCTTTCCAACTTGAAGATAAGTTTCTTCCAACAGGTGTTCAGATGCTACACACTCTGTGGCTTTTATGTCTTTTTCTGGAGGGACATTATTTTAAAAGTAAGCACGTGAACAATGTTTCTCACTTTCTTCAAAATCGGAGCTGAAGGCTGGGTTTCCCCTGTCATTGATGTCGCCCATCTGAGATCCATGACATACATTCTGTGGTGATTTAATGCTGTGAAAATGTCTCCCTGGGAGAAAGGAAGGCTTCCTTCAGTTGGCTAAGAATGGTCAGACCTGCATTTCCTTTTCTCAGAAATGAAGGGCTGCACTCAGTACGCAAGGTCATTTGAAATGACATTAAACATTGGATTCTGTCCAGTGGAAACACAATATGAGCTGTGTATGTGATTTTTTCCGCATATGTCATCTAGAATGTTCAGTAGCCTCCTTGAGAAGTAAATCCAGGTGCAGACCCTTGGCACAGCTGTTAAGCTGGGACACTGGGGACAGCTGCCCCCTCGCCCCCCCCCCGCCATATCGGAGAACATGCTTGCATTTTGGCTACTCTGATTCAAATCCAGGTTCCCTGAGAGGCAGAATAGCTCAAGTGCTTGGGTCCTTGCCCATTACATGGGAGCCTAGGTCGGAATGCCAGGTGGAATGGTGCAAGCCTGGATCCAGAGCGCACCTGGGGAGAGAACCACTGGGGAGAAGAGCTCTTTCCATCTCTCTCTGTCTCTGTCTCTCTCTCTCCCTTCCCTTCTTTTTCTCCCTCCTTCCCTCCTTTCCTTCCTATCTTTGAAATATAATGAAAACAGATAAAAATTTTAAAAAGAGAGATTAATTTTATTAACCTCTTACTTAACCTAATACATGCCAAATATTATGACTTCAACATGCAATTAAAACAAAATCAATGGGCATATAGAAGATTAACACTTTATATTCCTCTTCTTTTAAAATAAAGTTTTGGAGATCTGGAATAGACTTTGTGCTCCTGCTATGAACTGCTCTCCGAATCAACAGGCTGCCTGTCAAGCACTGGGTAACAACATGTTTCTGCCTGTGCCAGTACTGCAGGCGCGGCCTGAACAGCTGGAATCCAGGTCATCTGTGTGTGTCCTATGTGTCTTCTCCTTGCACAAGATTTTTATATACATGTCTTCTGTGATGCCGCTTTGATATTTTATCAAAAGTCCACAGAGTCTGACATACAAGTAAGCAAATAAACAAAATGGAGGCAGACCTATCACAAAAACAGAAATTTAGCTCTATATCAAACTCTGCTTCAACTGGTTGTGTAACTTCAGGAAAGCATTCGTGGGTTTAACCTCCACCTTCTCCTCCTTGGGGTAGTCACCAGTTACATGTAGAAGGCTCTGAAGGCTTTAAGAAATGATGATTTCACTGCTTTTTAGAACCTGCTGGCTTTGATGATATTATCAAGTTGGCACATGTTAAATCATATGACATTACGGCCCAGCACGGTAGCCTAGCGACTAAAGTCCTCGCCTTGTATGTGTCAGGATCCCAAATGGGCACCAGTTCTAATCCTGGCAGCCCTGCTTCCCATCCAGCTCCCAGCTTGTGGCCTGGGAAAGCAGTCAAGGACGGCCCAAAGCCTTGGGACCCTGCACCCATGTGGGAGGCCCGCAAGAGGCTGCTGGCTGCTGACTTCAAATCAGCACAGCTCAGACCACTGCGGCTGCTTGTGGAATGAATCAACAGACGGAAGATCTTCCTCTCTGTGTATCTGACTTTGTACTAAAAATAAATAAATCTTAAAAAAAAATCATATGACATACATGATCTTTGACCTGCATCTCATTTCCTTTGTAAGCTGGCACTAAGAGAAGACTGTTCAGCAAGGAAGCCAACAAAGGAATATAGCAGAGGAGTCCACAGAAGGTTTCTAAAAATGTGCCTTGTAAACAAGCCATGCCTAAGACTTCCAAACAACTCATACCAAAATAAACATTTTAATTCCTTTTTGTCACAAGCTTTTTAAGTACCTCAAGTGACCTATCGTAGTTTTGGCTCACTGACAGGGAGCTTATATGTGCTCAGAGTTTGAGTGATGTATAAAATACACAGTCATGGAATGAAATTTTATTTCTCAGAGGCAATTATGGCAAGTCAAGCCCTTGGGGACTCTTTGATAAGAAAGCCAATGATGACGCTTCCAAACAGAGCTTGGAATAACCACACGACGAACTCTCCACGTGACTCCCTATGGCCGGGAAGATCTCTGAAACTGTTAGTGTATTTTTT